CACACATACACGCACGTGCACGCCGTTGCTCCTGCACCCCCGCACCTCCCTCCTCACCTCCCCCCTCCACTCCCTCGCTCTCCCCAAACCCCCGCCTCGCGCAGCGCCCGCCGCCCCGCCGGCCGCGTGCCGCCCCGAGGCGCTGTCTCTCAGCGGCAGCATCCTCGTACTCTCGGTCGGCTCAATGCGCCCCGCCTTTGACCCCGCGCCCCCAGAAGCTTCTGACCCCGCCGCCTGCTGCCAGGCGTGCCGCGACACCGACGGCTGCGCCGCCTGGAGCTTCTGCGCCAAGCCAGGCGGCGGCTGCGGCGCGAAGGGCACGTGCGACGCGTACATCTTGCGGCAGGCGCCGCGCGGGGGCAGGCCGGGGCCGGGGACGGGGCCGGGGCGGGGGCGGCAGGTGTACCCTGTGGATTACTTCGGGTCTTTCAATGAGAAAGTCAACTCGTGCACATACGAGGGCCGCTGGCCCGAGAAGACGTGCACCCTGAGGGCCGCGGGGCCCAGTGCGCCGCAGGCGGTCGGGAGAGGTGCGCCGGGGGCGCGGCCGGGCTGGTCAGCCGGGCGGGTGGAGGGCCGGCGGCGGTGGCTGCGTGAGCAGGGCCGGAGGGTCAGGCGTGCGCAAGCTTGTGTTTGCACAAGCTATAAACGGAGAGGCGCGCTCGGGGTTTGTCGGCAACGGCATCATCAAACCAAGTTTGTTAACCATGCACCCTGGTGTTGGGTCAAAGCTCAGGGCCGCCGCGGCCGGCCCGACAGTTCGGATCTCTCCTGGTCAACCCACGGTCAAACCCCCGGCTCGCGCCGCTCCCACGCAGGCCCTGCCGCCGAGGGCTGGGTGTCTGGCTTCGTGGACCTGACCAAAGCGGCCGCACCCGGGTGCCCCCCCGGCTTCACCGCGGCCACCTGCTCGGCCTGCCTGGCAGCCAGGTTGCCGCCCGACTGCTTCGCCTGCCTTGCGCGCCCCCGCGGCTACGGGCCGGCCGCCCGCGCCGTCGAGGCGTGCGCGGCGTGCGCGAGCCTGGCCGATAGCCGCCACCGCGCCATGTGCGCGGCGTGCGTGGGGGACTTTGGCGCCGGGTCGGGCTGCGCGACGTGCCTGCTCCCCAGCAGTAGCAGCAGCAGCAGCAGCAGCAGCAGCAGCAGCAACGGCAGCGGCGGGTCGGGCGTTGATTTGGAGAAAGCGGGCCGCTGCTTCCAGTGCGTGCTCGACGGCGGCGCCGCGCTGCGCGCCACGACTGCCTGCAGCGAGTGCTTCTTCTCCCGCACCGGTGCTCCCGTCGACGCGCCCGCCTGCCTCGCGTGCGCGCGCAACACGAGCCTGCCGGGCGCCGCGCGTGCCGGCTGCGGCGCGTGCCACGACGCGTCTGTCGGGGACCGCGGCGGCTGCCTCTCGTGCCTGGCCGCGAGGGGCGCGGGCGCCGCTGACACGGCGGTGGCGTGCGGCGGCTGCTCTCAGCCCGGGCTGGACCAGGTGGCTGCGCAGTGCTACGGGTGCCTCCAAACCGTGCCACCTACATCTGCATTCGCGTGCTCGAGGCTCGGACAGGTGCGCAGTGGGCACGCGTAATCGCGAGCCCCGCCGGCACGGCTGTGGCTCCTGCTATGGTGCAGCCGGCGCGCCGCCGCCAAGAGGGGAGAGCTTCGGGCATGCGCGCAGGCGCTTCCTGCTGCCAAGCACGGGGCAAGGGCCTCCGGGTGCGGCCAACTGTGCGTGTGCGGCCTTACAATCGCACCCCTCAAACGGCCCACGGCCGTCAGCGCACTGCCCCCCAAGTCGCCCGCACTTGCCTACCACGCCCCGCACCATGCGCCTTCCCCAGCCACCAGCCGCCAGCTGGCGGTCGCCCCCGCACACGCCGGGAGTCACGCGCCTCACCCCCCACCTTCCAAGCCCCCGTCCCTGCCCCGCCGCACCTTCCCCGCAGCTGCCCGGACGCGCCCCGCACCCGGACGCGCTCGCGCTGGCGCCCATGTATTATTCATGCCTCGCCGCCACCCGCGCCTCTGCCTCCGGCGCGGGCGACTGCGGCTCCGCGCTCGCCATACCGCGCTTCGCCTACGCGCGGCGCGCCCTCGCGTGCCGCGGGACGCTCGGCACTGAATCCGCGTCCTTCTGTGCACACTGCTGGAGCCCCGCCAAGCCGCCTGAGATGGCGCAGGCTTGCGAGAGATGCCTGGGGAGGACGCCCTATGAAAGTGCCTTCACCGACTGCGTGTTCAGCAACGGGGCCGGCGGCGGCGGGCGGGCGGGCGGCAGCGGCAGCGGCAGCGGCGGCGGCAGCGGCAGCGGCGGTGGCAGCGGCGGCAGCAGCGGCGGTGACGGGCGGCAGAGCCCGTAGCGCACGGCGGCGCCGCCGCACTGGCCGGCCGGCGCGCGCCGATGGGGGGCGGCAGCGGGGGTGCACCTGGGCCCCTGCAGCGCTCGCTGCTCGAGCCGCTCGCCGCGCTGTGCTGCGCTGCACCGTGCTCCACCATGCATTGGCGCCAGCCGGACCCTCAAGCCGCGGGCCCACGAGCTGTGTTGACCGGTGCGCACTGACCTCACCTGCAATCGGGGCGGGAGGGCCGTGCCACGCCCTACCTGGCCCCCGCCTTTGGCGCGCCGTACGCCCAGAGCACAATCAGGAGGCTGCTCAGGATTGCGGACCCCGGCAGCCCGGGCGAAAGCGGGCCGCCAGGTAATGTGCGTGTGATCCCTTTCTGCCCTCTAGCGTCCCAGACGCGCCGACTGCACAGTGCGGCCGGGCGCTGCCTGGTTGAGCTTGATGAGCTCGCCGCCGCCGCTCGGCGCCGCGCGGGCCGACTCTTGACAAGCCGCGATTGGCATCGGCGTGGCGCGACGCGCCTCCAGAGCTCCGGTGCCCCCACATCGCAGCGTGCCCGCGGCCATGATGCCGTCTTCTTTTTGCCTTCCTGTGCCCGTCGCTGCCTGGGCGATCACCAAAAAGACGCCGCGCCTCGGCTCGACGGGTTCGCCGCTGCCGGCTGCCTGCTGCAATGCAGGGCCAGCCGCAGCGGGCCCCACTTTCTGGAGCCCACCCTGTGGAGGCGATGTCTGGCCCCTTGTTTCGACGCTGGGCGAAGGCAGGTGCGCCGCTCATTGAGCTTTCGTGGTCCGCCTCTTTCTGGCTGCCCAGTTCGCTGCCAAGAAGCCCTTGGCCAGGCTGTGGTGTTGCTGGTGTCAAAATATTTTTTTTAGTTTCGTCCTAATTAGCATCACATTATCTTCGAGCCCGGCCACACTCTTGAGACACACCAAAGCGCGACGAGCGCCGTTTGAACGAAGCAAAGCCGGCGCAGTCGCCCGGTGGGGCGGCGCCTTTTTGATTGGCGCAGCCGCCGCAACAGCTGTCAGTTTGCAGGTCTAATTCCATCTCTATCTGACCTTACTTTATTGCCATGCACCCACGCGTGCACTCACACCAACCGTCCTGCTGGAGGTTGAATGCACCCAACTAAACGTATCACATGCCCAAAGACCGCCTGCAGCTACTGGCTGCTTATTCTAGTACGGATTGACTAATCTGGACTCACAACACAGCAGTGCTGCTGGATTTTCTTCTCCGTCCTTTCTTAGGATTGAGATTAGGCAATTTTTGGTGTTCGTAGATGTGTTGCTTGTGTAGGGCTGAATGTGTGTGTGCGCGGGCGAGAGCAGCGGCGTGCACACAGCTATCTGGAAAGGCTGAGCTTGCAGATGGGTGCAAGTGGGATACCAAAAATAAAGCGACCACATTTGAATTTTGTGGTTTGAACTCTGTGGTAACAGACCAGATAGTCCAGGGCTGGCACGGGCCAGCGCGGTATCAGCAGGCATTTCCGGGCGCCTATACACGGGCGCGCCGCCAGCTGGCAGGCGCGTCCAAATCAAGAGCGAGCCGCCGCAGCAGGGCTGCCAGCCAGGACCGCGGCCTCTCTGCCATCAGAGCATGCTTGACTCAACACCAACCGGCCCAACACACTTGAATAGTTACACAAGGGGTGTTGCTAGGGGAGTCAGCAGGGCCGAGCTTGATCATGACAGGCAAGTGCAAGTTGTGCCAATTCCCATTGCGGCCAGCACGCGCGGAGCAATCAGTTTGTACGTACGCAAAAGTTGCCGCAATTTTCAAAAATCATGCGCGACACACAGAAAGTGGGCAGCGGCTCAACAGAGCACCAAGTGCAGGTTGTTAGGAGTGAAATGCACGCGCGCCACAGCTGAAGCAAAACACGACGCGACAGAGGAGCGCCCTGGAGCGCTACAGACGGAACCATTGCACAAGAGTGCCAGTAGCAACAAAGCAAGCCGCGGCGCAGTTCTTGGCAAGGCGTCACAGCACGCTTGATCACCCAGCTGCGCCGGGCGCGGCCCCGGCCCTGCTCGCCTGCCGATCGCAGCGTGGCAGGCTGGGCTGGCCGAGAGGGGCGCCCCATCAGATCAACAGGAGCAAAGCCATCGCCATGTGAAAGCTCACACGCATCCAGCATTCATCCATCGGTCCATAAATTCGCTTCCCAAGCTCAACACCCTGGATTGATCAATCGGGACATTGACAACAGGCATCCACGGGGCGCCCTGCAACGCAACAGCGCCCCTTGTGTTCTTTGTTCAAGTGCGGGCAGCAGCTTCCCGGTCATGCCAGGCCGCTGTGCCGGAACGACGCGCTCCCTCCACTGTTGCGCCGCAGAGCAGCGCCGCTGCCGCGCCGCACGGAGCTGTCATGCAGCGAGCCCATCGCGCGCAGCGCGACAGCCGCCGGCCCGGACGCGCGCGCCGGCGCGCCCACGTCGCCGCCCGCCGCCGCGGCGCCGTTCGGCGCAGCCGCCGTGGCGGCGGCGGCGTGGGCGCCCCCGCTTTCATTCACCGTGTGCAGCTGCGGCACGCCCGGCGCGGGGGCGGCGCCCCCGGCGCGCATGCTCTGCAGCGCGCGCTGCAGCAGCGAGGCCTCCGCCGGCGCGTCGCCGCCCGTGCTGCCGCGCTGCCGCGAAATTCTCCCCAGCAGCGTCTTCACCGGCGTCGCCTTCGCCCCCGCGCTGCGCCGCGCGAGGTCGTCCCCGCCCGCGACGGCCCCTGAGCCCTGAGACTGCAGGCTGCCGCCGCTCGCTGCGCGCGACGGGGGCATGGACGCGGTCATGAGGGGGATGGACCCCTTGCTCAACACCTGCGCCTGATACGTCGTCGTCTCCAGGTGCGTGGGCAGCTCTGGCCCCTTGGGCACCTGCAGCACCATCGACTCCTTCAGGCTCTTGTAACCGCCCGGCGGCAGCTCAGCGGGCGCCCAAAGCACGTGGCTGGCGGCCGCGGCCGCGGCCGCCGCCGCTGCGGCGCCGCTGGAAGAGCCCGGGGGCGAGGAAGCTGGGGGGGCGGCGGGCGCGAGGGACTCGACCTGCCCGGTCAGCAGGAGGCCCGTGTGGGGGACGTCCAGCAGCTGACCCTCCTTGAGGGGCTCGACGTCGCAGGCCCTTTAGGGGATGGGGCGAGGTGGTGAGGGGGCGGCGCAAGGGGGCAAGGGTCGAGGCCGCGCGGGGGAGTGAGCGATGCCATTCAACTCAACACAATGAGAGGGGGCGCCATGCTTGCCAACGCACCAACACACGCCGGACGCCTGACCTGTCCGAATCCATGTTCACACTCAGACACAAACACCTGCGTGTGCATGCGCATGCCCCCGTGCGCATGGACCCAGTCACCCATGCGCACATGCGCCCCTAAGCATGCACGTGCACATGCACATGCACACATGCACATGCATGCATGCGCCTGCACACCGCACCACACTGCATGCATGCACACAGCCAGGCAGCTCCACCTGAAGAACATATTGAGCGGCGCGAGCTGTTTGTGCACCCCTAGGATGTGGTGGTGCTGCGCCGCCAGCTGCGCCGCAGTCGCCTGCCACGCACGCCTCTTCACGTCGGGGTACGCCGCTGCCAGCTCCTGGAAGCGCGCCGCGGGCACGAGCAGCGCCTGCACCATGCTGTCAGCCGTGAGGCTGCCCATGCGCGGCAGAGAAAGCATCAGCTCGCACACGCCGAGGGCGTCGCCTGCGGGCGGGGCGGGGCGGGGCGGGGTGGGAGCGGGGCGCGCGTTGGGGACGCGCGGCGCGCGGGGGCGAAGAGAGAGGGCGGCCTCGCAAGCTTGGCTGGCGGTGGTTGTTGAGGGCGGGCGCAACGACCTCTAGCCCCCCCCCCTTATGTCTCTCGACGCAACGCAGGCTGGTGGATGTAGAGACACACACAACAGCATGCTTGCACACGTGTACACATATGCACGTGTCCGTGCCAAGGACTGAAAACACGCACAAGGGCCTCAATTCCAAAGAGTCATCACTGCATGACTCACCAACAGACGCGACAACTGTGTGCTCCTCTGAGCGGCCGTGCGGGCCGCCCGTCACCGGGAACAGCATCTTCACGCTGCCCTTACTAATGATGATGACGTGTTCAATGGGGGTCAAGATCTGGGCAATCGTCTCCCCCGGGTAGTACACCCTCCACCGCAGGTCCCAGGGGCCGTGCTTGTGGCCCCATGACTGTGCAGGAGGTTCAAGAGGCGGGCGGCCAGCGAAAGGGACGGGCCGGGATGGTCAAGGGTGGCACATGGTTGAGCGAAGGGTGACAATTTGGGTGGGAGTCGAGCGCGAGGACGCGTGTGAATGTGATTGGCAGGAGATACACACAGCAACGAGCTACGGTCTCAAGCCCGCCAGCAAGAACGCACGTGCAGCGGCGTCCCACAGAAGCCAGCCTGGGCCTCAGATCACGTCCGATCCACCGTGAGGCTAACAAAACATCATCGACAAAACATCATCGAAAAAGCAGCACACACACGTCCACGCGCGCTTTTCAGCGGGGGTTCGCAAGTACACAACAGCTCACCCTCGACCCCTCATGTTCCATGAGCCGCGCCGCCTCCGCGTCGCTCAGCGAATCGAACAGCGGCAGCACGTTGAGCGGCGGGCGGCTGCGGCTGTACTGAACAGCCGCGTGCACGCCGGTGTTGGAGCGCAGGAGGGACTCGAACTGGGCTGTCATCAGATCTTCGAGCAGGAGGACCTCCCTTGGCTGGACGAGGCCTGGGGGGTCGAGGGTGTGGTGCGTGCGACGCTGAGGGTGTGGTGTAGCCCTTGCAGGGAATTGCATCGAGACCGTGTAGATACATGCAACCGGCCCACAGAGCAAGCGGCGCGGCACAACACGACACGCCGGCCGCCAAGAAGTGCGAGCGCGACCGCGCCCCCGAGCGCCCCGCACGCGGCCCGTGCGCCGCGCAGGCGCACCGGCCTCCGCCAGCTGTGCCAGGAAGGCGTGCTGCTCCGTGAGGATCTCCAGCGCCGCCTGCTTGCTGCGCAGCCACGCGGGCAGCGAGGGGTGCGAGCGCGCGATGCCCTCCACCAGCGCCAGCGCGCCCGCCGCCGCGGCCTGGCTCTCGGCGAGCACGCGGCGCGCCTCGGCGGCGCCGCGGCCGGCGGCGCGGCCGCCGCCGTCGGGGGTGGCGGCGCGCTGGATGGATATCGAGACGGTCCCGAGCTGGTCCTTTGCAAAAGTCTCTGGCAGGTCGAACGTGTCGTTCTGCGCGACACAGAGCATCAACAAAGGATGCGCGGTTGATTTGAGGAAGAGGGTTGAGTTGGGGCTAAATCGGGAGGCACACCCCCCTTAAGAATGGACCCGACCACCGAGGCAAGGCCAGGAGATGTTGAGTCACGCGCACGTCACGTCCACTTGAAATGACTTCGGCATCCAAAGCAGACGCGCCAAAAAAATTGGAGAAAACAGCTTGTCGGCCGAGTTTCAAGGACATTTGAATAAGAAACCCGAAAAGAAAGATCGCATGCGACCCGTAGCGCACCAGGATGTGCTCTTGCAGGACCCGTTGGGCGTGCCTGTGGCCGCGGATGAACCCAACCAGCAGGTGCAGGTCACTGAGGGCCTGCCGGTACGCGGCCGCCTGCACCAGCGTCGCAGACACGCGGTCCACCTGGCGGGGGAAGCAGGGGAATGGCGAGCGGGGGCCGCAGCCGTGTCGGCGACGCGCGTGAGGAGTGTGTGTGGGGAGGGGGGGTGGACGGCAGCTTGCAGGGATGAGGGGCGACCATTGTTCCGTCGGGCGAGCTGGGGGCTGCGGGATGTGTGGGGATAGCGTGGGTCTCTGTGCTGGCACCACTTCGGTGTGCACTGCAGGGCGGGCGAGCGATTGCACGGGACACTGCACGCAGATGAAAACCAAACAGGCGTGCTGGCCCGCCGAACCGCCCTGAAGCAGCGCGCACCCCGCAGAGGCGCAGCAGCTTCGGCAGCCCGCGTGGCCTGCAGCTCGGCTCCAGCAGCTGCCAGTCCAGCAGTCCGGCGCCGGCCTCGTCCAGCGCCGCGTCCGCCACGGACTGCAGCGTGCGCATCTGCAGGGTGCTGAGCAGGTGCTGATCATACACCTCGGCTGCGCGCGGGGGCCAGGAGGAGCGATGAACAAGGGCGGCCGCATCAGCCAACAGTTGACGCAAGGGGGGAGAAAGCGCGACGGCTGGGGGCCGAGGGGGACGGAGGGGCGTGCTCCGGGCCGGGCGTGGTGGCGAGCCGCCCCGCCGCGCCGTTGGACGACGCATGCGGGGAGGGGACGTACAAGCGGGCGGCGACGCCAGCAGGCCGGCAGCCACCGACAACACGCAAATCAAGCTTGACCCAGCTGCCAACCACGCGCCAGCTTTGGACCAGACCAACACACAAAATCACGCACATGCTTGCGCGCTCACAATCGCGCGCACACACACACACACACACACACACACACACACACAAACCCCGCCGCGCCGTTGAGCGACGCATGTGGGGGAGGGGGCGTGCAAGGGGCCGGCGCCGCCAGCAGGCCAGCAGCCACCTACAACACCCAGGTCGAGCTTGACCCTGCTGCCAACCACGCGCTAGCTGTGGACCAGACCAACACACCAAATCACGCACGTACTCGCGCACTCGCATTCGCGCACACACACAAACACACACCCACACACACACACACACACGCGCGCGCGCACGCACGCGCGCACGCACACACACACACACATAATGACACGCACACATGCGCATCAACAAACACGGGCTCAACGCGTTCATCACTTTGCAGTATAATCCACACTCTCACCCCCCCTCATACACATACATACACATACAGAGACACACACACACACACCCACACACACACGCACACACACCATAGTGCTCCTTGACCATGTGCAGCACCCTGCAGCGGTAGTCATAGAGCAGCTGCGGGTCCAGCCCCTCCTCCTGCGCCGCGAGCGCCGCGGGGCTCTTGGCGGCGGCGGTGGCGGGCACCGTGTTGGCGGCTGCGTCGCGCAGGAGATCCTCTGTCGGCAGCAGGGACCAGACCTGGTGGTTTGGGGCGGGTCGGAGG